GGGGGGGGGGGGGGGGGGGAGAAGAGAGAAAAAAAAACAGCAAAAATAATGTGTTTCACAATCAAATTTGTAGTAAAGCCATCATTTTCATTTGTATTCACTTAGGTCAAGATGGAGGAAAATTATGAGAATTCGAAACTTTCCCCAACCTAATGGAAGTTCCGAAAACAGTACTTAAAAAAAATCATATTATGTCGTAAATTCTTCACTTTTTGGTATATTACTGGTAAGTAGGAGATATATTTATTATTACTAAAATTATTTACCCTAAGGTTGAAATAAGAAAGACCATCAACTTGCTGAATAAACTATCAAGAAACCAGACATGATTATTACAAGGAGGTGACTTAGGTCCCAAAGCGGAGCCACCCCTTTTTTTAAGTCACACTGAATATTAAACCAATTACAGATCCTATTTTTACAATAAAGTTCATATTCAGGTGTACATCAAACATAAACTGAACCAAAATAAAAAAAAAATACAACCAGAGAAGGACTATCTAGCGTACACCAAATAATGGATGTGCGAAAGGACACTAATCTCATTTCCTGACTGTGTAACTAAAGCTCATTCATTCTATATGTTTCTGCCCTTTCTCCATCCTCATGCCAATAGATAGTCACTTTCTAATCTTGTGAATTTCATGTGGCAAAGCATGGGAAGATAACTAATATATAGGCCCCCATTGTATTAAGTTAGATCATATGCATATAGTACAGCCTAATTCCTTAGCAGCCATATCAAGAAATTTAGTACACATCCCATTTTCAATTCGGCTGTTAGCTTCCCATGTCAAACACTTTTCAATATCCGCTCGCCAATCAATAATGCCAATGCTTAAGTACTTATATGCAGGAGCGTGGATTCCGTTTACATCTGCTCGTTTTGCACTAGATTTTATTGATCCAGCATGCATGATGACGCGAAGAACTGACGTGCTGAGAGCACGTACGAGAGCACTTGGATGAGAAATACAACGAACTGTGGCCGGTAAGCGACACTGAAATGTATTGACAAAGGACTCTAGTAAGTGCTGGTACCTTAAGTATATTTCTCATTTTAAAAGTGATAAGAAATGTAATACTTATCATTTTACTCACTTAGGACATATACCTTTAACAAGTTTGACAGACCGTCAGCGATTGCCAATCCAGATTCTCCCCACTCAAGCACTGGTTGTACTGCTCTAGCTGTCACTTCCAGAAGCTGCTCGATAGTATTTAGTTGCAAGCATGCAAGTTTATTAAGGAAAAAAAAGGAAATAGAATGTGATGATCAATTAATTGTCATTCAGACACGACATATTACTTGGAACTTCAGAGTATATGTAAAGTCCTCGCTTACTGAATCAAATATTTACTTCAATGAGAAATGATAAATGTTTGAACTGAAGATGTTATTACCTCTAGCTGTGGCAAGGTGCACGCTTCTCCGTCGACAAGCATCCCATCTGTCGCCCGTAAAAGGAGGTCCGGTGCGCTAGCCAGAATTACCAAAGATTCTGGTGTATCATGATTCCTCATTAGTTCAGCGATCAATTTCACTATTCGTTGGTTTATCCTCCACATATTCTGGCCAAGATCATCATCTTTGGCAATCCATGGTTGCAATTCCTTGTCCGCCTGACAAGCAAACGAAGCAAGGAAAGTGACTAAAAATATATGGTGAAAAAGATACAAGATGATTAAAGATGCAAGTCAGAAACTTCACAAGGCAGAGAAGTACCCCATACCAAAGAACATCTAAAATGTATATCTTCTATAAACATGTGGCCACAAATTATGGACATAAATACAAAATTTTAAAGCATGTACATCTGTGAAAGCCTTACGGACTCAATTAACAGAAATAGTGAAGAATCTAACGGATCTTTCAAAAGAAAAGTTCATATTCTTGTTATCATCGAGTTCAAAAAAAGCGAAATCTGGACCTGAAGAACAATGGCTGTTGCAGCTTTTGCAGGCAATGCTGATACGACGTTGCATAGTGCGTCAACGACCTGTAAAACATGTGAAAGCTAATAAGCAACTTATATTGTAGAAGGTACTATTGCAAAAGCTGCTTTTTGGTAAAAGCTACTCCGAATAAGTACAAATTTGAATGTACTAGTGCACGTAATGATTTTCACCCACAAAATCTCAACTTTCTTTCCAAGTGAAATTCAGGTCCAAACCCAAATAGGGAATTTAAAATAGTATTTTGTAAGTCATAATAGTGGAAGACATAATACTAGAACCATGTGTTGTCACATAGGCACCGGACTGAGGTATGAAATGGAGGACGAGTTTTACTCGCATCTATCTTTTGAGTAGGTAACTGGGAAACTATCTTTCCATCCGTCATCCCTTTCTAGAAGAGATGGTTTGGTTGTACATAGAATATAGTCATGGAAAATTATAGTTTTGCATTTGAATTGTTTGATGAATTTGAATTCTTCAGACTTACAAATTAATATTCTTCAGTGTAACATATGTTAATAATACCTATAGGGAAATGTTACACACACACACTGACACACACACAAAAAAACGGCAAGGTACTAATTTCATGAAAGCCGATGTTTCTAACCAAAATTTTACTTAGTTCAGAAGATGTCTCTTACTGTTTTTTAAGGGAGAAATGTACAGAAAAATTGATAAGCACTTTGGTGCTATAAACAACTGTAACTCAGACATAAAACATCATCTTTAATTTTCTTGGTATAACATCAACTCNTGAAATCGTTGTTCTTTCCTTAAGTATTTTTGACACTCCATATTTTGCTCTTACAACTTTGCCCGACAATAGAGTTGGAGTTCATCTTCCACTATTATTCTCCATTTACCTTAACATGATCTTACCTATGCTTGAAAACTAGGGAAAAGATAGAAAGGAAAGCTACGAGGGAAGAATATGAGAGGATTGGGGAGAAAAAATTGGTGGGCCACGTAAGTTATTTCTCCACCCGTTCTTCCTCCACTTCCTTTTGTCAAACCATGAGAGTGGAAAGAGTAGAACTTCTCCCCAAAGCATAAACAAGTTCTAGGAACGTGAAGTTTCAATTGCCTCTCCAAACTGTTACAGTTTACAGCCAACAGATTGCAAATAGAATTTTCCTATCAAGAAAGCTCCATGCGGAAGGGGGTGAGGGGGAGGAAAAGAATGTAGCGTTAAAACACATAAAGAAGGAAATTCAAACACATTTCCCAAGCTTCTAGGGTTAATGATCTCCTTAAAATGCAGCACTGGGGGTTGCCTACACTCTTTTTTTTTCTGATAAGGTCAGATTTTATGGTTTGCCTATACTCTTCACACTGTCTTCAAATTTTTGATGCCAAAACTACGGGCCGACCAACTATTTGAAACTCCAAGTGAAAATGGTCGTGGGATAGCCAAGTTCAAAAATACCATGTGATAACAAGCTCTGGCATTGCACTAACCATAAATATGCTTTCAGGTATGTTTTATTTCAACTGCTACAATATATAATCAATATCATGAAGTAATGTGGTAGATACCTGTCTCCATCCCTGCTGAGCGGAAGTGCTTTCTGCACTCGGTTGTGTTTCAGGTGATGCAATTAACTTGTGCCACAGCAATGAGATAACAGAAAAACATAGTTCTTGTTTCTCCGTGAGTACCGACTTTATAAGATCTGGTGCATTGCAATTAAATCCTATATGCCTGTCCATTGTTAGAAAGTTGGCCAAATCCGAAGCATCTATAGGGAAACTTACGATCCCTTTACCGGTGGTGCTTTGTGCAACCTCGCTTGAGTGTAGAACTTTCTCACTCATAGTTAAGGTCTTACAGTCGGTTGAGTCTTTGCACTCGAGCAACAATGACTGTTCTGCAGTTAAGCAATTACAATTGCTATATTTATTATGTTTTTTCCCATTCAAGCACGAGGTTCTTTTCTTAAGAACAGGTGCAGGTATTAGGTGTGCTTCCAATGGTTCGGCCTTGTCAACAATTGATGCAACAACTTTGCTATGAATATCAATGAGGTTATATAGTGAAGACGCTCTGGAGTTGATTTCATTATCCCACTTACACCGTATTAAGATCGAAAGAGCCTGTGTGCAAGCCTTGGAACGTCTAAACAGATCAGAAATATGAGCCGCAACCATAGCTGCAGCAACTATCTCATTTGAGCTGTAACTCCAAGAAGTGCCAACAGATGATGGTTTCAAAGAGAAAAGAGCCTCCAGAATTGCCAATATCCTCCGAGTATGACAGACAGCAGACTGAATCCCGTTTCTTAACTCAATAGACGAATCATTGGCACATTTTGCAGCATCGAGGATGGTTTTTGAATCTGAATAATTAGTCCCTCTTGAAATCAAAGGGAAGAGCTGAAGTTCAAATGAAAGAGCACAGATAGCAGCAAGAACATAAGAATCAAACGTTGAAACAGGTCCTTGCTTTTTCACTTTCTTAGTTCCTTTTTCTTTCTGTTTTCCACTGGTTTCCAGCGAGTCTATCCCCATTTCACAAGGTCGGTAAGAATCTTTCCCTACAGGTCTTCTGCTCCCATTTGTTTTTGCTTCATGACTGACGCATACAGTTAAGACAACAAAAAGAAGGCGAGAAGAAAGCTCTACAGAAGCACATGACTCCAAGAATAATGAATGAACCATTGTTCGCAATTCTGCCACGGCAAGGTTTTTGGAGGCAGAGCCAAAAACATATCTGGTTTTCCTGATTTCTTCTTTGGAGGACTCAGGTGGGAACGTTCTCTGAAGAATTGCTTCAACTGTAGCAGCAAATATTTTCATGAGACAAGTTTCAGATGGACTCCCACGAGGAAGATACTCAAGAACCTTAAGTAGTGGTATATACAGGTTCCACGATAAATTGGGCGGTTGCAGAGGGGTCGCAACTATAATTTCAGGAAGATCAACAGCTGATGAACTTAAAGGAATCAAGCCATATGCAGCTTCCCATATGGTACATATTCTCCATTCAACCTCAGGCCCATGTGCACAAAGCATTGATGCAATCCCTTGTGCAGTGGCTTCAACTGTGGCTTCTGCTGCAGGTACTTCTCTCTGAAGAACAAAATTTCATGAGTGATAGGTAGTCACTATCACAACAACTACTGGATAAATTTCAAGAATTCTGCAGAAAGAATGGAATTTTATCACAAATAATACACTCAAGTGGCTATACCTGTTCGAGTTGAACTTCAATTCCTTCAACTTGTCTTAATGGAGGAAAGAGCAGAGCAGGTTGTGAAAGTATTCGGAAAAGTAAAGCAGCTGCAGCATCTGCAGCAATGCCTGCTCTCATGGACATTGCAATTCCAATTGCACGCAAGAAATGCAAATGCATCCAATTCCTAGGAAGCTTCATCAATGCATAGAAGGTTAGAAATTCTACATGTAAATTGAAATCAATAACAATTAAGACAGGACAAACTTCAGTTAGTGGAGTATTAAAGCAGCTATCCTAGGATTTGATATGTAGACTTCCATAGTTAATTGAATATCTTTTGGTGGTGAACATACAAGAGTTCATAATTTATGCAAAGGACTTCATAGCAAGCTGAGAAAAAGAATTAAAGAACTGGCAATGTGCAAGAAGGTCAGTCATTACAAAATGGCTCTATGTGATGCATCTAAAGACTGTAGGCATATTAAGCAACGACTTGGAGAGATGAAAGAACGGAAACAATATCATGTAATGTCCGCACATCATGGTACAAACCCCCTTTTGGATGCAGGATTAAGGGATGTGACAGAATTTTACCACAAAATATAGGGTCTGTTTGGTATACGTAGGACCATCCTACATGGCAAGGATCTAAAGAAATTATGGTAGACGATACAAGGCTATGAGCCTTGAAAACAGAAACTCGAATATTCGGCCTATAAATAAAACAATACAGTATTTCTGATCCTCCAAGTTCAGCAATCAAATATTGTTCATGGCACTATTTTTTTTTTATATATATATATATTTTTTTTAGCCATCCGCTAGGCAAGCGCCTAGGGCTAATTTTTTATTAATAAAATAAAAATAAAAATACAACAATTAGGAAGAGTAGAAATAAGGGGGACAATAACACCGGTATTGTTACACAAATGCCTTGGCTATATAATCACTCCTCTGCGCCTCACACTGCCTTATGATGACAGCCTCATGTAGAGGATTCATGATGTAGCTGTCGGCAACGTCTCACGAGGGCATATAATCTCATAGCGTGTGGATAATTTTCAAAGGCATAGGACCAAGGCAACACAAACCGGGCTAAACCTTACCTTACTAATCCTATTGAGGCATACAATAGCCTCGCGAACTAACAAGCATGTAAAAAATATGAACTTGAAAGGATCAAATATTCTATGATCATCAGAGAGTTTATAACATACTCTGTGATGATATTACAGATGAGGATACTAAGAACGTGGTAAAATAAAATGTAGTACCCATTTGATTCTTGTCCCTTCTTTTCCAAACTAGTAAAATCTTCAATTTGTAATTCTTTGTTGATTCCCTCAACCGTGTGCAAAATGTATTCAAAAATCATCATTTCCTTTTTGAACGGTTGGACCTCGTAGAAGTAGTTGAGGCATCCTGCTTTTATTTGGCAACTCTCATTGGAGGTCGCCTAACAATTCCTTCATCACTCACCTTGCCTTCCCAGCTTTTATCTCTTATACGAATGTTGTGATTTGGTCCGATGCGCGAGGGTGATACATCCTGTTGCCTAGACAGTGCAAAAATTGGATCGTCTTCTCTTGCTAAATTCAAGTGTATCCCCAAATTCACAGATTGAGGAGCATTGGCACTCAGCATTGATTCCAAATAAATTCTCTCATCGTCTGACATAACTTGACTGGTTGTAGCAATTTGCTTCTGTCCAGATGTTGGTGCTGTGACTT